GGGTATTATGGTTATAGCAAGAGTCCAGAATGAAGGTTGCATAGTGGAGTGTACTCGGAGTGGGCAGGGGGGATTTTATACCAATGGAAGAATTTTTGTTTTACTTTTCAAAGAGAAGAGCGAACTGGGAGGGAGGGGTGGGCAGGGAGAAAAATGTAACAGTGAACGAATGGAAAGCCAAAATCTCTGTAAACGTTCATTAAAATTAATAAAATAAAAGATTTCATCAGGTCCCTCATTCTTCTTTTTCCTGATCGGTGAGGTAACTGTTGGAGTGCCAGGATACCAATATGGATTAACAGTGACTGAAACAGTGGACTTGAGCTTGGCGGAGGCCATGAGGGTGGCACAGGGTTGGATCTATAGTTAACAGTGCTGCTGTGCGTTTTAGTAGACTTGACAGCACCTGCCAGCCCAACAACAACAAATGAAGGAAGCCAAACTGAAGAGGTGGAAGTGTGGGGCTTCCTAAGCCAGAAGGGAATGGTTCACTTTGGGTAGTTCCAGAACAATGGCCAACCCTTTGAAATCCTGAAGGAGACTAAGGTCCTGCCCCTCAGGCATGGCTCCCAGCTCTCAGCTTCCCTCACAGGTGCTGTTGGCCCAGGTCCGCTGGTGTTTACAGAGGCAGTGAGCCCAGGAATGCAAGTAGACTGAATCCTCAGAGGCTGCTGGTTTTGTTGATGAACTTTTACACTCTTGTTTACATGAGAAAGTTCTCTGGAAGCCTTGCTCCCCACTTGGGATCCAAGCTCCCTTAACCTCTGTGAAACTTGGGAACTTGGAGCAAAGCCCCTAACAGTGTGGTTTTCTCGTGTGTGCTTTCCCAAGATGCTGCTTTTCTTCTTCAGTCTTCTTCCTAGCACTGGTTCCCCCTGCTATCTGAAAGTGGATTGTTCCCTTCCTAAGTTTGGAGTACATAAAGCAAAAAAAGCATTTACCAATAATTTAGGTGGGAAATTGTTCTTTTCATTACCTGACCTTAAAACTAACCTAAAAAATCATACCAGATAACACTAAAATAAAATACAGCTAAAGCAACACCAGCGTGCACAGTGTTCGCAGACAGTTCAGATCTGCAGCAGTTAGATGCGGAGAGCCTGTGTGTGTTCCGAGGTGTGGGAAGGAGCTTGGCTGCTCCATTCAGTGCCGGACGTGAGGCTGCCACTTTAAAGGCAAAACAAACACTGAATGCTACTTTCGATTTTCCTTATAAAAGCAAAAATCCTCTTTGGATTTCCTCTGGTTAGTGAAAACAGGTACGAATATTGATCTTTCCTAAAAGTCAGCCAGTGTAAAGTAAACTTTGGAAAAGCATGGGATACATGTACTAATAACAAATCACATACATTTTATAGGCAATTTGATCACTTACTTTTACATGCAGTTAACATGCTATGTCTAATCACTGCCTGGAAGGGAGGGAGAGAGACAGAGAGACAGAGATGCAGCTATTTCAGAGCTCACAGTTGTCGGTGCAGAAGACACTTGTGTGTATAGAGTAGGTGTTGTAGTGATTAGAAAATTGTAAGGTAGAAATTAATAACCTTTGTCATCAAGTTAATGTAAACTCATAATGACCCTATAGGACATGCCCCAAAGAGTTTCTCATCCACTGCCATTGAGTTGATTTAGATGATGTTTCTCCATCAGATTTCGAAGACTCTAAATCTTACTGGGAACAGATTGCCTGACTTTCTTTGTTAGTAGCTCAGCATGTAACTACCCCACCAGAGCACATCACATGGTGGCCAGAGCTGTGGTACTTACAAAGGCAGACCGCCACATCTCTCCCATGATTACCTGGTGATTTTTGGTTAGCTGTCAGGTGGTTAACTACTGCACTACCTGGGAGCCTTCAGTCGACTAACAGTAAGAACTTAATTTTCAAACACATTATTAGTAAACTTCTTGTTGTGTAGTGTTGAGTTAGAGCCAACTCTTAGCTAACCCTCCAGCAGGTTTTCACAGGCAGTAATTTGCACGGGAGGAGAATAGCCGTCTTTCTCCCACAGAGCAACGGGTGGATTCCAACCAATGCCTTTGTGTTGGCAGCAGAACTCCTTACCACTAAGTCACCAGCGCTCCCTAGGTAAACTTGAGGAAACCAAAAAGCAGAGAATACAAGTTGAGTGTCGGTGTGTGTGTTATTGACTATGCAAAGGTATTTGTCTGGATCATAACAAACTTTGGCTAACATGCATCATCATACTTGGATCTACAGTTAACACTCTCCATTCAGTCAGGAGGTCAGGAGACATGTTGGGAGAGTCTGCCGTCATAGGCCTCTCAGAAGCATTAAGGAGCAATTAGGTCTGTTTGAATACTAAGGTGTGTCTGATTCATGCCATGATCTTTCAGTCACTTACTATGCATCTTGAGAGCTGCATGATAAGCAAGAATGACAGAACAATTGATGCCTTTGAGTTGTGGTGTTGGATAAAAGTACTGAATATCCTATGGATTGCCAGAATAAGACATGTCTAAGAGGAAATGCAGCCAGAGTGCTCCTTAGAGGCGAGAATGGTAAAGCTTCGTCCTACATACTTTAGGCTTATTGCTAGGAGAGGTGGTTCCTCAGAGAGGGACATCATGCCTGGAAAGGTGGAGGGACAGTGAAAGAAGGGGCTTTGATCAGACATGGATGGAAAAGTGAAAAATAAAAGTGACGCCAAATAGATTTTAAAAGGTGGGAAATATTTTTAAGAGTGATAATGAATGCACACATCTGGGAGAAAAATAACCTCTGCAGGATATACAGATTAAACTCCTCTAAAATACTGCTCTTGACAAAAGTATAACGGATTAACTCAATTTAGTGTTATTTTGAATCACTTCTCAGCTTTGTGACTTGGGTCACTTTCCACAACCTGTTTTGAGCCTCAGGGAGCTCTGGTGGCGTAGTCCATTGGGAGTTGCACTGCTAGCCCAAAGGCAGTGCCTCTCTGGCTGTTCGAATCTACCAGTAACTCTCCTGTAGAAAAATGGGGAGTCTTCTCCCACATGATTTACAGCCCCTGAAAACTAGAGGGTCACCTCTGAGTTGTTTCTGACTGAAAGTAATGAGTATCTGGAGCCTCAGTTTCTTCATTTGTAATGAGATTTAAAAAAAAAAAATCTTCATTGTGAAGTGATTATAAAGATTGCCTAAAAATGCAGATGTGCTTAAGGCACACCTAGTGTAAAGTGTATGCTGAGTACATAGTGACAGCACGTGGTATTTCTACTATTCCTCTAGTCCCTGGTTTCTGTTACCATTTAGGATCAAGCTGCTTAAGTGACTGACCCTGAGCTGAAGGCTAACATTTGCCATGATAGAAGCTACTGAATCTGGCCATTGTTGCTGGATGTCATTGAGTCAATTCTGACTCACAGAACTTCACGTGACAAAATGGAACCACTTTGAGAAAACACAGTAGGATTATCCTATAGGGATAACTAGGAGTTGGAATCAACTGAAAAGGAGCAAGTTTGAGATTTTGGCTTCATCTTTATTAAAGCAGATCACAGAGCCATTTAGAGGAATCGAACTGCCATCCTTTGGATAACAGCCAAATGTACAAAACATTAGGCTATCAAGTTCCTATAACCAGGCTGAAGACAAAAAATTCTGTGAACTGTAACAGATTGTGAAGTAGTTTCCAACAGATTACAAATGCTAGCTGAGAGAAGGGTCAGTTGTTCTACTATTACAATAAAAACCTCAAACTCATTGCTGTTCAAGTCAGAACTGACATTAGGTTTCCAAGGCTGTAAATTACACAGGAGGAGATTACCTACCTTTCTCGTAAGGGAGGTGTGGCCTTTGGGTTTGCAGCACAACTGTCTATAAACTCTGCCACCAGAGTTCCCTCCTATTGTTCACTCTGTGTCGGTGCTGTCATGCCAGAACTGACTTACCCCGGCCCTTCTAGATGGTTTTTAGAGGCTGAAAAACACACAGGAGGAGATTGTCCATCTTTTTTCCTAAGAATGATTGGTGGACTTGAACTGGCAAAGAGGCTCTGCTTTGGGGTTAGCAGCACAACTCCCTACAGACCAGGCCATCCAAACTCTTGCTATAATGATAGAACTCTCAAATATAATGTGGTTTGTTGTTGTTGTTAATGTGCCATCAAATTGTCTGCAACTCATAGCAACCCTATGCACAGTAGCTCCTAAACCTACCCTATCTATACTGAGCCAGACTCACTGTCTTTGAGATGTCTGCCCCTATTACCCCAGACACCGACTCAATCCATCACATCCAGAATCTCCCTCTCCTGCACTGTCTCTTCACTGTTCCAAGGATGGTTTCCTTCTCTACGGACTGATCGCTCCTGGCAACATGCCCCAAGTATGTGAGATGGAACTTTGGCTAGACCTCTTAAATTTGCATTCATGGTTTAAAAGGCTCCTAATTGATATCCTCTGTGGTCAGGCCAACACCAGTTTGTTTCACAAACACAGTGAAATCTCAAAAAAATAACCAGCCACATCTTCCAAGTATATATAAAAGTGCACCAGTTTCTGAGGGGGCTCTCAAGTCTTTGAATAACTAAGATTTCATTTTCACTTGGAACATGTTCCAAGTAAACTCTTGACCAACACTTTCTAAGAAGCTGTGAATAACATTGCTTTTGCTTGTCATGGAAAGTCTGGTCTCATAATTATATTGTCAGCTTTGAGAAAAAGAAAAAACAACCAACCACCATTCTACAGAAGCAGGAGTCAGCAACCTAGATTTAACTTGCTTCTCCCTCTCACTTCCTCTTTATGCCCACAGTCTACCACTCAGAAACGAATTTCTGTGCAGTTCTTGGCCCCACTGCACAGTGAGTCAGCAGGGAGAGAGCTGCCCATCTCCCTCAGACATCTCACCTCCAAGATAGCCATTGTTTCTGTACTCTGGGAGAAAGGTCAAGCTTTAATTAACAAGCTACTGATTGTGTTGTTCAAGATAGTAAACATCATGGTGGTTAAATACTGACCCTTTCTTTTTCCCCTTCCTCTTTCCACAGGACTATTTTTATCCAAGATACTTAGGTAAGTAAGTTCAAATCACTACTTTCCTCTAGTTGGATAAGGTGTAGATAGGGAATGTATATTTTGTGGGGGGAACCAGACAGTAGGAACCCCATTGTTATTCCTGGGAACAGGATCGCCTAATTACACAGAGAATTTGGAGCTGTCCAGAGCCCTTAGATCCAAACCCTTGTTTGTTTGGTTTATGCCGTTGTGATTCCTGTTAACTGAGCCTCCATTTAATGCCTGTATTTGCAGATCTCTGCTTCTGCTCTGATTCCAGACTTAGCTCATTGTTTAGAAAGGGGATTGATTTAGTCCAGGGGATCTAAAAACCTTTTATTTTCTTTTTAAATCTCGAAACTTTTGCACTTTTGGTATTATTGAGGACCCCAAAGAACTTTGTTTTTCTGACCTCTGCTTATGGATCTTTGCCATGTTACTAATTAAAACTGAGAATATGAGTTCTTTTTTTTAAAAGTTTCTCATCTATTTTTTAGAACAGTATACAGAAGAAACATTCTATTAGCTGTTCGAGGAATGATCACATTGGAAAATGCCGCTTTGTACACTGGTGACACAATGAGAGTGGAAAGGGATCCCTGGGTAGTGTAAACAGTTAATTAGTTTGGGGTTCCAGCCCACTCAGAGGCACCTTGATTTCTGAAAAATCAAGTTTTTTAAAACCCTTTGGAGTGTGGTTCTACTCTGATATACTTGGGGCCACATGATTTGTAGTAAAATGCAACTTTTTATATTATAAAAATACTTTTAACTTTATAAAATCCTTGCAAAAGAGGCCTGGACTACCCATTGGGAATGATTGATTTAATTAGTTTTAAAGTTTCTAGGAGGATGCATGTGATATATAATGAGATAAATGCATTTCTGTCTTTCTTTATTTTTTTTAATCTTGTAAAGTGTATTTTGGCAAATTTTCTATTGACTTTATACCCTCTCAGAGATACCTTGTCTGGGTCCAACAAGCAAAATGAACCTCTACTTGACCTTGAAAAGCACAGAATAAAGCTGCTTTATGCAGAAAAGGGTTTTTACCATTTCTACCCTATACCATTCCTGTTAGCTTCCTTTTGATATGCGGGATGGGTGCCATGAAGGCAAAGAATGATGAGTTATACAGATGACCTAATCTCATCTGTGGGGTGTAGCCACCTATGCGTGGATAAGACATGGTGATTTACTGCAGGAGCCAGATGAAGTGGCTCATCAAATTTCATATCATCGCTGAATTTACTTGTTAAAAAGCCAGGTCTTTGCTTTACTGCGTTCCTGGGTAGAACGCCATTGCAATACTGTATCCAGGATGTCAGTTCACTTGCTTTCACTAGAGCAGACTGACTTTTAAATTAACAGCAGAGTTTCCTTAAGATGAGTGTTAACGATCAGAAAACTAGCTGAATATCTTTCATGAGCCTTCTCTGCTTAATAAAAGAGGGGCCAGTTGGAGAAAATGCAAAATAACTGGTGTTAAAACTTGGTACATAGTTTTGTGAGCAGATATTTTCTACTTTGTCACTGCTGAAATCTTCTATATCAACAAAAGTGAAATTGTTCCCTCTGGAGAGCTATATAGCATTTATATAAATGTGAATCGTCCATTTTAAGATCAAGTTCTAATGTCTTTTCTACCTATTTGACAAGGGACAAGTGATGCTATGACCCATTTCTCTCTTTCAGAATGCATTGATAAATATGGATCTCCATACACCAAAAATCCCAGTTTTGTCACATGTGTTCAAAGTAAGTCTGTCTCCTTCCTTTGCTTCCTCTTAGCAGTATTAGGTTCTGTTGTGGTTTGAGGGATGAGTCTTGAATATTTCCATTATTTCTTTTAAACTATAATTTGAATAAAATTTTACAAAGCAAATTGGCTTTCCATTCCACCATTCATAACATTTCAGGTTAAAGTGTGAATCATAATCTATAATATACACAGTGTACCCATGCTCTTCACACTTCTCTGTGGTCATCTTTCAGTCCCACCCCTTCCTACGATCTGAGCCTTTACATTGGGGAAAAAGTTTGTCTTGTTGGCATTTCCAGTATCTGATAGAGTTATTGTGTGTTTTTAAGTTGCCTTATTTCCTAGCTAACTTTTCTTTTTAAACATGTACATTTTGGTTTTTGAATAGACGATAAATAGAGCTAATACAATAAATCTTAATTTCACCTGAATTACTCACTGGCTCATTGCAGTCCGAACCAACTCAGAGCTGACTATCCAGCAGCTGTCAGTCACACAGGAGGGGATTGTCCATCTTCCTCCCTCAGAACCGCTGGTGGATTTGAACTACCCGCGTTTGGATTGGCAGTACAACTCCCTGTCTTCTAGGTTCCCAGATCTCCATTTCACAAGAATATAAACCAAAAGGCAGATTACACCCTGCACTGTCACATGGCACCTCTGGGTGCCCAGATCGACCCGATTCCTCTTAGGTCTCACCTGATTCAGCTCATATCTTAGACCCTGTCACAGCTCTTCTCTCACAGGTAAGGACCAGATGAACTAGAAAAGTAAAAGGAGCCCTGTTAGTGCAATAATTTAAGTGCTTGGCTGCAAACCAGAAGATCGGCGGTTCAAACCTACCCTGTCTCTGTGCTCTGTCATATGGGTTGTAGTGAATCAGAATTGCCCCAGCAGCACCTCACAATCAGAGGAGCATGAGGAAAATGGCATTGCAGTCCCAGTCCAGACTCCTGTTCTGATCCGTGACCTCTCGTACTACAGATGAAGGCACAGATCACAACCTGTGTTCCTGCTATTTAAAGTTAAGGTTCTTATTAACTGAGAAGCTAGAACAATCTTCTTAGATAAAGAGAGAAAAAAGTCTGGGCTCTTTCTTTTGATCCCTGTGTTACCTAGAGAAAGCTCTTCCCTGCCCCAGGCCTAACTCCATTTATTTAGTATTCTGTATCATCTCCAGAGACTTGAAATGCCATCTTTATCATATTCTAAACCCCAGGGGTCAGATTCTGTGACCTCTCTGGGGCCTTTCGATGTAGACAGAAGTGGAAAGATGACGACAGCATCAGTCAGTCAGTCAGTCATGTGCTCTTGGTTTTTCATATTTAGCAGGTTTTTTCCTTCTTAAATTAATCTTTCTTTATGTAATGCAATTTAGTATTTTCATTTCTGGCTTCACATAATTGTTGTTGTTGTCATATGCTGTTGAGTTGCTTTCAACTCACAGTGACCCTGTGTACAATAGTCCTGAAACCTGACCTATCCTGTGCCAACCTTATCATCTCTGACACACCTAAACCCTTTACCCCACGTACTGAGTCAATTCATCTCATCAGGGCTCTCCCTCTCTTGAGTTGTCTCTCTACACTTCCAACCATGATGTCCCTCTCCAAGGACTGGTATCTCCTTGCAACATGCCTAAAGTATGTCAGACAAAGCCTCTTAATCCCTGCCTCGAAGGAGCAGCCTGGTTTCACCCTCTCCAGGAGGAACCTGTTTGTTCTCCTGGCAGTCCATGGTATATTCAATACTTCTCCAGGAATACAGCTCAAAGGCATCATTTCTCTTTCTTTCATCTCTGGTCATTGTCTAGCTTTCTGATGCATAGTAAGTAATTGTGAAGACTATGGCCTGGATCATGCGCACCTTAGTCTCCATACTGATGTCATTGCTCTTTAGGATTCTGGAAAGATCCCTGACATCAGACTTTCTCAATGCAATTTATCTTTTGATTTCCTGGCAGATAATACTAAGAGTTGATTGTGGAGCCAAGCAAACTAAAGCTGTTAACAATCTCAGTCTCTTTACTGTTTATCATAATGCTGCTTCCCTTCTAAAATGTCTTTTTATGCTATGAGTAAGGTAGAGATTTACCTTTACAGATAATGTTCTTCTCTATTTCATATTCTGCCTCATCTCCAATGACTTGAAATGCTGCTTTATCATCCTGAAAACCAGTGGGCATTTGATGGACTTTTGCTTAAGTTTCAGTTAAGTTTTTCCATGGTCCCACTTTTTATTATTGTAATTTAGAGTGCGCCTTTAATATGTAGAATTAACTTAAAACTCATTGTTGTCTAGTCAGAACCAATGCATCGCTGATCCCCCAGAAAGTTTTCTGAGGCTGTAAACCGCATGGGAGGAGACTGCCTGTCTTTCTCCTGCAGAGCTGCTGGTGGACTTAGGCACTGCCAGTTCACCAGTTGCCAGTTCGCCTCTTCATAGACCACACCATCAGAGCTCCCTCTAATAGGTTTAATGTTGTTGTTGTTGTTGTTGTTGTTGTTAGGTACCATCGAGTCAAATACTCCTAGTGACTCTGTACACAATGAATGTGAACCCTGTCCTATCCCGTGCAATTCTCGGTTTCTGACACACTCAAGCCCAGTGCTGCAGTCACTATGTCAACCTACCTGGTTGAGGGTCTTCCTCTCTTGCATTGTCCTTCCACCTTTCCAGCATGACGTCCATCTCCAAGGAATAATTTCTCCTAGCAACATGCCCAGTGTATGTGAGATGGAATTTTATCATCTTTACTCCAAGGAGCACTCTGGCTGCAACTTCTCCAAGACATACCTGTTTGTTCTTTAGGCAGTCCATGCGATATTCAGCACTCTTCTCCAACTCCACAGTTTAGAGTTCAGAGGCATCTTCTTCTGTCATCCTTAGTTATTACCCAGCTCTCATTAGCATAGCAAATTACTGAAAAGACCATGGCCTGAACTAGGCACACTTAGTCCTTAAACTGATATCATTACTCCTCATTAATTTTGAGAAGTCCCTGGTTACAAACTTTCCCAGTCAAATACATCTGACTATTACATCTATTAAGATAGGTTTAATAGGTACCGTTATTAATATTTTTTTCTGCTTTCCTGACTCTTGCTTATTTTGTAATGAACTCTAGAATCATCATGTCTAGTTCTAAAAAAAGAAATTTTTAAAAAATCCTTTAGTATTTAATGGAGGCCATAATTAATTTATTGATTTAATACTTTGATTATGCGTGTCTTCTCCAGTTAAGGCGAAATTTTTCCTTTGAGCAATTAAAGGTTTTGGGGTGTCTTTTCCCCTTTAGTTTGCCCTTGTACTTCCTTATTAGGTTTATTTCAGAGTATTTTCTTGCTAGAGTCATTTCGCACGTTCTCGATTCTAACTTGTTTGTGTATATGAAGGCTATGGATCTCTGCATATTAATTTTTGTAACCTGCCTCTTGCCTGAATTATTTTAATGTAATTATTAGGTTTTAATGAGTTATTTCATGACTGCTAGGGTGCTCTGGTGCTCTAGTGGTAAGAAGCTATACTGCACTTTCCAAGGCATGTGGTTCTAATCCAATAGCTTCTCTGTAGGAGAAGGATCACAGTCTCTTCCTGGGCAATTTGCTGCATCTGAAAACCCACCAGAGGGTCCGTTGTAGATAGCTTCTGACTCAAAGACATACGATGACAGGCATGAAGTCATATTATTTATGAAGAATGAGAATGAAACTTTTTCAGTTGTTTAGACTATTCACTTGTTTGATCGAATTTCATTGGCTGGTGCCACCGTAAGTGGATAGTAAACATTCTGGTATCATTCCCAGCTTGGGCAGAAATCTTACTGACATACAGAAAAAGGAAAAAGAAAACTTATTAAACATTTTCCCCAGCTGTTCAAGAGTGTGTATACTTGTTTATAAAGTTCATGCTAGCATGTTAGCATGCGGAAGTAGTTGATAGTGTGAAGAGGAGTGACTGGAATTCTGGAACTGTGGGCTCTAGCTGCTTCTGCCATTTTCAAACTGTAGGTCTTGGAGCCCATTCCTTTGGCTTCATAGTATATTTCTGATTTTGATGTTATGTGCTGTAAAGACAACTGTGACTCATCGCAACTGTATGAAGAACATACCTAAACCCTGACCTATCTTATGCCATCCTCGCCATCCCTGACACACTTGTTCCCACTGTTAGAGTCACCGTGTCAGTCTGTCTTATTGAGGGTCTTTCACTGACCTTCTATCTTTCCAACCATAATGTCCTACTGTTCCCTCCTAACAACATGCCCAAAGTATGTGAGAAAAAGTTTGACCCCCACTTCCCTTCAATTAAGAGTTTCTATCATATGTTATAATTTCCTGCTTATCAGTCAGCTTGATTCTCCTCATTAGATTTAAGACTAAACCCCTTGAGGGCAGGCATTATGTAGCTTGCACTGTTGATCATCTGAGTATTGTACTGGGTATGGGTACATACTTAACACCCAGTAAATGAATGCATGGCACAATAAATCAGTGAATAAATAAAACTTGTAAAAAAATAGGTTTAGGAGGCTAAAAAACTGGTGTTATTTTTCTTTGATGTATCTACTTGTTGCCCATATCTTTGATTCCAGTTCTCAAGGGAAAACGAGAAATTTTGTTGATGATCATTTGAACCCAGCAATAACCAGAAGTTCAGCCAAGAAGTAAATCCTAGTTGACTTTCATCCTATATGAAACATTTTGAAGCATTAGAGTTATATAATCTTTTTAATGACTGTTTCTTAAACAGAGTTGCAACCTTCTTTGCATCTAAAAGTTGGACAGTGACTAAGAATCACAGAAGAATCATCAGTGCTGTTGAGTTGTAGTGTTGGAGAAGACTACTGAATACCCTGTGGGCTGCCAAAAGAACAAACAAATATTGTCTTGGAGAAAGTGTAACCAGAATGTTCTTTAGAGGCAGGGATGGTGAAGCTTCATCTCACATACTTTGGGCACATGGAGAAGAGGGGCCAATCCTTATGAAAAGACAT